GTTGGAAGCACTGTCTGACGCGTCTGCCTCCGCGGCCCGAAAGGAGAAGCGGCGATGGAAGATGATGATGTACGAAAGTCTTAAGCGCAGACTTGATGAATGAAGTTTTATAATCTACGATTACTAACAAAAGTGAGGTTTCACTATTGCGGTCACAATTACAAAAGCTTATCTGTTGTCCGGGTTTACGCGTCAACTCATTACCTTTTCTTTGCCTCTGGCGGCCTAGGAAGCCATTCAAGTAGGTCATGAATCCAACTTATTATAGCACTTCCAACGCATGGATATGAAACTGTATCATCAAGTGAATGAATGAAAGTTTACTGCTTAAATGACATTGCCAAAAACTTCCATTTTTGGCAAAAGAAAATAGAAAAAAAGATTAAGTCTATGTCTGTATCACAAAACGGAAGTTCATTTGTACGTTTAGAGTTAAGAAATAAGACCAGAACTAATCGAACCACCGGTGAAACCGGTACGATACTTTGAAGTGAAGATAATAGGGACAACCGGAAGAAGACATTGTCGCGTTGAGCCAGGCTCAAGCATTGTTGTTTAACATCAGTGAAACTTCGTAGAACATGCACTGAAACTGGGATTATAGATGTTCGATCCTGTAAGAGCATTCATGGATCTATTTGATGAGATTCCCGAGTTATGTCTGTCGTGCAATGGATGATTGCTGTTCCCCAGGAAATTCCTATACCTACGTGTGACCTCAGAGCGTTAAGTCAACCACGTGCCTCAGTAAATCATTTGTGGAAGGCTACTTATTCTGGAGATTTTTCTGTTATCCGCTTAACTTCTGAGGTTGCATGTTTACAAGCCTGGAAAGATGAATCGTGATGCTTAGTTATAAAAAAGGAAAATACCTGAAAAATGGATTTTTTGGCATCATCGTGTAGTCTATAAAAGTTTCTCAGACGCTTTATATATGATGAAGCCCTGTAACACCAGGTCGTAAGTGACTGTTCATGTGCATACTCGAGTTGAGCCGTTTGCACAAGTAGAGTGTCTTATTTGTGGTGTCCGCTTTGTTTACAGCTTTTTAACACCTTTCCAATAAGTCTCCAGTTGCTGTATTCCAGAAGGAGATATTCTTCTCCTGAAGCCGTTCTGCATCTACTTTGTTCCTCCTTGTTATATACTGGTCCCGTGGTCGGCGGATGCCGTGTTTCGGCTCCCACTCATGAAGCTCATGGACTGGAAGAAATGTTTCATCTTTAACCAGTTTGTCTAACAGAGCCGATCTTCTTTTCTAAATCTCAGCATCTACCGATGTCACCCGTACCCTGAAGCGAATAGAGTCATTC